CACTTAACTTTTCCAAGGTAGCTTAGGATGTTGCGCTTAAACATAAATCACGGATAACCAAGGAAACGTGTTTTAATTGCACACAAGTCGTCCTAGGTTGCAGAGTAGGTTAGGCAGCTATTAGAATCGGCGTGGATATCTTGTGTCAGTCGACTGACACAAGCGCCGAAGATCAAATCTTTCGTGCGAGGTTAGTTCCGTCTTTTTGCAATGGTTAGGGTATGTCTCGGGCCCTAACTGTCAATCAATGGGTACTTCGCCAATTTGGGCCTCTATTTGGGGCAATACACTAAATCACTCTTTTAACTAAGGATCTCTATAATATTATTTGAGAAGTCATTTTCTTAGGTGTCGCGCTTACGTTAACTTTCACGCTGGTTGATTACTATGATACCCCTAATGAACTAAAAATATATTTAAATATTATTATTTCCTTTTTAAAATCTTCCAAATAACAATATAAAACAAAAAGAAAATATTTATAAAATTTACAAAACTATTTAAAACGAAAAATAAGTATATATAATATGGTTCCATAAAAAAAAGTTTACAAAATAATAATATTTAACTTAAATATATTTTTAAATAGCATAAATTATACTTTTTAAGTAATTATACTTTATATCTATATCTTCTTAGATGAAAAAAAATTGTATATAATGTGTTTTCATATAAAAATTTCATACAAATAATCTTGATATTAGAAAAATAAATATTTTTTCTTTAAAAAAATAATATTATTATTTCCTTTTTAAAATCTTCCAAATAACAATATAAAACAAAAAGGAAATATTTATAAAATTTACAAAACTATTTAAAAACGAAAAAATAAGTATATATATAATATGGTTTCATAAAAAAAGAAAGTTTACAAAATAGTAATATTTAACTTAAATATTTTTAAATAGCATAAATTATACATTTTAAGTAATTATACTTTATATCTATATCTTTTTAGATGAAAAATTGTATATAATGTGTTTTCATATACAAATTTCATACAAATAATCTTGATATTAGAAAAATAAATATTTATTATTTAAAAGAATAATTTCAAGAATAAAATATATATTTTCAAAGTAATTAGTTTTTGTATATATCTGTCTATTTTATTAGATGATTACATAAATAATGAAGTAACATAAACTGATATATGTTTAACTGACAAAAAAAATTATACTTAGTATATTTATAATTTACCATCCAATCAATCTAAGACATAAATTATTTAAAATTTATAAAATATTTAATTATTGAAAATATTGATATGTGTTCATAAGCTTCCAAAAATTTATTATTACTTATATATGTAATTTAGAATTAGACACTTTAGTTTTTATTTTTTCGTTCTAAACACAAAAAATCTTAAAATACATAATCTTACTAAGATATACTTATATTTCTAAGATAACAACCAACATAAATGTATATAAAACAATCAATCAAAAATTTAAGATATTTAGAATAAAAAAGATTATAGTTGAATTCAGAGAAATAAATAGAATCTAATATATATATATATCCAAATGATAAAACTGACTAAATATAATATATCCAAAATTATATATAACTAAAACAATATAATATTATAAATATAAATTATACATAAAAACTATAAACTAATATAAAAGTTAAAGTAAATATCAATTAAATATTATAATATATTTATTTTATAAATATTTATGTCCGTGCATGAGCACGGGAAAATCACCTAGTTGAAGCATAAAGAAGCTTACTGATATTTTTGGTATTTTTTTATTCGAACAAATTCTTGAAAATATATTAGCCTATATAAATGCTTAAAAGTATTTTAGCCTATATAAATATAAGACCATGAGCAATGGCCCTGTTGAATTGAAAAATTCATGTTAATATATATACTAGACCTGTTGAAAAAGGTGAGAATCCTGGTGGATCATTTGCTCACGTTGAAACACATTAAATGAGCCCTACATTGCCTCTTTCTTCTTCTTAGGTTACTGATATTTTTGGTATTTTTTTGTTCTTCCAAATTATTCAAACATAATTATTTTATAGTAAATTCTTTTGAAAAAAAAATAAAAATTATACCAAAATGTAACATTTTTTATGATGTATAGATAGATACTAGTTTCATTTCATTTGAATATAAAATAAAAATGTTATTTTTTTGTTAAATATATTGATTAAAATAAAAATAAATTTTTAATAATGATGTGGAAGAGAGAAGAGATGAGGTGGAAGGTAAAAAAGAAAACAGGTGTAATAAGTAAAATCAATGTAAATAGTCTAATGTTAAATTTGTTGAATAAAATTTTATATCATAAATACCAACAATTAATTGAGTTACCCAATAGTAGACTTTTTGATGATGTCATTATTTATGATATGATGATGACCGTATTTCCTCTGTTTTTTTTCCTGGTGCTTGCCTTTTTGTCGTTACAGTATCTCTTAGGGGAATATCTTAGATTAATTATATTAATAAACAGAACAAAAAAGTCACATAACTAAGTCATGTATCCTAATTAAGCATCGGAGACTCTCTCTTTTCCTTCTTTCTCTCTCTGTTTTGTCTCATTATCTCTTTTCTTTTTCTCTCTCTCTCTCTCTTTTTCACTTGGATCCACTTAAGATACATTTAAAATTTTTGCCTATAAAGATGCTCTAAGACCATTTACAATGGGCATGTTGAATTATTTATTCAACTGTTTAAACCATTGTAAGATGGATGTTGAATTAGAAAAAAACATACGTGGATTCACAAGTGTTGAATACTTTCAACTAGCTAAAAGCAAGAAAATCAGGACCCACTTTGACTCATGCTCTATTACTATTGGTTATCATATTTTTGTTCATTTTTATTTCCACCTAATAATTTAAACTTAATATTTTATAGTAAAATACATTTTCTTAAAAATAAAAAGTTTACTAAAATTCATCATTTTTAAAGATCTATAAATAGATACTAGTTTCATTTTATTTGGATATAGAATAAAAATGTTAATTTTATAATTTTTATTTTACTAATATCAATTTTATGAATTCAATTATGTTATTGTATATTTGTTTTAATAATTTTATTTTAATATGATTTTTTTTTAAAAGTAAATAAAATAAATAAAAATATTAAGACTGTCATTTTTAATTATTTCGTTTAGTAACAATCAATTTTAAATTAATGTAACTATTAAATTATAAAAATAAGATTATAAATTAGGGTGTTGAAACTTTTTCAACAAAACCATTGTAGACATAAAATTTGTATGTGTGTTGAATTAATATGTGGAAGAAAGAGAATATGATGTGGATTGTGAAAAAGTGTAAATTAGGTGTTGAATTCATATGACCATTGTACATAGTCTAAAATATTCATTCATTTCCAAAACATCTCTCCATCTTCTTCAAAGCTTCATTTCTGTTCAATCTCAAGTTTACTAAAAGAGAACATAAGCCATCACGTAGATCAAATACAACACCTTAAAATATAACAACAACAACGGAAATGATGAGATTTTCGGACGATCTGGAGGCTGGTCTCGTCAGCAACCATGTTTCCACTGTTCATGATGCTGCACATCCACAAGATGCCTCTGCCACTGCAGATGTGTCATACAACTTGGAAGCAGATAGTCCAGACGGCGACGCTGGCGTTCATGAACGATGGAGCTTGTTGTGGGTTAGTGTTTTTATTCCAACTGATTAAATCTGTTCACTCGTATACTTGTTGTTTAAGAATCTCCTCTTAAACTACTAGCTGACGTGGTTGATGCCAAGGAGGAGCAGAGCAAATGATGAAGCAGTAAGCGTAACATCTCTCAGTATAAGTACATGTCTGGTTAGAATCACAGTTTGTATCTTCCTAATCTGTGCGTTTTTTTTTTTCCGGCGATGAAGTCCGTACATGAGCACCCAGAATCAGAAGAACCAAACGGTATCGTATGTTCTCGTATGTAGTAATTTTTTTTTTTTAACTTTCAGAGCGATAAAGTCAACCATGTAAGAAGTGTTAAAACTAAATGTGTTTTGCGATTAAAAAAAAGAGAAGAAAAAAAGGATTTAATCAATGTGCTCTGTTTTTATGAAAGAAAAAAGGATACTTTTACACCAGAAGAAAAGAAAAAGGGTACTACTAAAACTTATTTTATTACACTCGATAATGATTGTTATGAGACAAACTCGGTCTATATTTATACAAAAGATAAACCAGTGTAAGAAAACACAATTCTTAGTTGTGAAGACACAAACCCTTAAAAATGATCGATCGTGACTCTTAACTTGTAATTAACTATTTCTATACGAGATTTAATTATAATTCAACAGAAAAAAATCAAACAGACACTAATCCGTGACACTCTTTCTTTATTTATTTTACACAATCTCCAGTTTTAACTTTTAACCAAAACCATCTGTTTTCTTTTTCCTATGATTCTACTTTGAACTTTGATTCTACTTCTTCGGTTCAACCCTCAGCTACTGGCGGGTTTGTGATTGAAGTGGACAAACTCACCCAAGTGGTCAGAGATCGTGACCTTCAAGCTCTCAATCAATATAATGGGGCAAGCACTTCTGATAACTTCTCTTTATCAATTCTTCTCTTGTGTCTCTGTTTCTTAGCTTATGATTTGCTCTGATAGGTTGAAGGGTTGTCATCTCTGCTGAAGAGTGACCTTGGAAAGGGCATAGACCGGCGCGACGATGAGATACTGCAACGTGGGAAGGCGTTTGGGTCAAACACATACCCTTGCAAAAATGGAAAGACTTTCTGGGTACGTGCAAGTAATGTTAGATAACGTGTGGTCGTGAAAAGTCTTATGGGGAAAAACTTTGTGGGGGTACATAATGCCAATTGTTAGAATGTTTGGTTTTATTTGACTTTTCACTTTTAAGAAGAAAACTCTTTTTACCTATTGATTGTTGTTGCAGAGCCTTATCTGGAAAGCTACCAAGTTTCCTCCTTATATGGTTATACTGCTTGCTGCTGTTATAAGTTCGCTGCTGCGAATAATAAACGGAAAGGTGAGTTGTTTCTCCACAACACAAGATCTTAATTAATCACCTATCTTTCTTTGGTAATTATGTTTTGACATAAGATTTATCTTCTCCCTTTGACTGCAATTCATATATTCTGTCTCATTAGTTTCTTGTCTCCCGAAACAAATTAAGGTTCATCATTTCGTCTGAATTTATCTCATGTTATCTTACTCTCATGACACTTGCAGTCTATCCACGATGGATTTTATGTGGAAGCTTGCATCATTTCGGCCACTGTCCTTGACATCACTTTAAGAGGTATCATGCATTTTTGATGCTCTTGAGTTGCTTCTTGGCCAATTCTACAATCCCTTTTATTTATTTATTTTTTCTTTAATTCTCAGTCTGAGAGAATATATGGAAGCAATCGGATTTACTTTATTTCTTAAAAACTTTGTTTTGCAGCTTTCACAGAGTACAAGCGGTGTCGTCAGTCTGCAAAAACGAGTGAGAAGAACAGAAGCGTACCCCAAGACGTATGTTGTTGCAGACAGTTTTCTCCTGTCATTTTTGTGTTAGGTTGTTTGCTGAACGTTTTCCGTTGTAGGTTATTAGAGGTGGCAGAAGACTCACAGTTTCTTCATCTGATATTGTCGTCGGCGATATTGTACCCCTCAGGAATGGGTTTCTGGTAAGCATTACGATTTTTACAGTAATCATACTGTTTGCCTTTTGTTTTCTTGAGCTTCACTCGTTAGTTTTCTGAATTATGATCTCAATGCTGCAGGTACCTGCAGATGGTGTCCTGTTTGTTGCAAACTCATTGAAGATTGACGAGCAAGAAATAACTGGCTCACACTTGATTGTATGACCCACCCATGTTAATGCGCTATATCATTACCTCTCTCTCCTGTATTTCTAATCACCCTTTTCCAACATTATTAGGTTCAAAAAGATCTTCTAAACAATCCCTTCCTGTTATCTGGCTCAAAAGTGATAGAGGGCATAGGTACAATGCTGGTAAGCTCTCGGCACAGTCTTTTAATTTCGCTAAATGCTTGACACATCCGTCTCATAGATACTTTAGCTGATCTTAGTCAAGACAAGACCTAAGTGATGATAAGTCACATTGACATGGATGAGAGAGAGAGACTATAACCATAATAGTCTCTTAGCAACAAAATAAAACTGCATCACCTGTTTCTGCAAACAGTTTCTCTTTTAACTCTGAATGAACTGAAAACTAAATTTCGAAATCCCTATGTAATTAATTTTGATCTTCTAATTCACTTTATTCTTTCCCCCGTGTACTTAAGGTTACAAGTGTTGGAATAAACACTGAATGGGGGAAAAAGATTGAGACACAACCTGAGATTGATGAAGAAAATCCCTTTCAAGTATGTTTTATTGATTACTTTTTCCTCCGATAGTTGCGCATTTACAACCTGTGTTATCTTTTACTAGGTGTACGTGAAACAGATTGCAATTTCTGCTAGTTGGTTAGTCATTTCGCTAGCTTCTATTGCCTGTATTGTTCAGTTATGCCGGTAAGTCTGTTTTTTCATTTTACGATATGTACCCACCACGCTTAAATCAATTCTGCTTTCAGTTCTAATTAGCTGAGGAAGAGGAAAACATTCTTTTTTTTTATTCCAGATACTTTTATGGTTGGACCAAAAAACCAGATGGAACTCCAATGTATATGCCCGGAAGTACCACTTCTGATGAAGCAATGGAATATGTGATCAAATCCATGAGTTTTGGGGTATGTGGCTTCTGAAATTTACCTTAGTGGCAAGACATATAGTAATGGTAACCCTGTGTAACTTTTTACCCCGCAGATCGAGACAATAATCGTGGCAGTGCCTGTTGGACTTTTTATAGGTCTTGTCTTGAAGTAAGTCTCATTTCCTTTTTTTTTTCCAAATTTTGCTTGTATTGTAATATACATACCAGAAGAAAAGCATATAACTATGCGTAATTTCCAGTTTATTGTAGTATATTTTTTTTATATCATCATCATAACAGTAACATCTTCTTGCTTCTCATCTTATCATTTTCCTCGATCGCTACACCAGTCTTGCATACACTATAGGTGAAATGATGAGTGGCAACGCTTTGGTATTCTACCTTTATATTCCAAATTCTCCAAGGTCTTTAGAGCATCAACATGTGCTAAACTTACATAACTGTCTTTCAGGTTCAAAAACTCTCTGCATGTAAAAGAATGGGACATGTTACAACTATATTGTGTCATAAAACTGGAATATTAACTTCGAATGAGGTAAGTGTTTTCCTTTATATGCAATTTGCCCATTCCTGCTTCGTTTTTTACTTCCTGGGTACTCATTGAAGTATTTGTTTACTGCTAAGAAGATGTCTGTGGTTGATGTCTGGGCTGGAGGAATAAGAGCAGAAGATATGGATAATGTTTCACAGTTGCCCTCGATTCTTAAAGAAAAAATAATAGAAGGTATTGCCCGAAACACCAACGGCAGTGTTGTTTCTGAAACGGTAATTGTCCTAGATCACGGTGTTCAGCTAGACAATAACTATTTGAAAACATTTCTCTAGTAGGACTAATTTGCATATAAATTATTCTTAACAAGTTCATAATTAATTAATTATAGGGCGTCACTGAACCAAAGGTTTATGGATCACCTACAGAACAAGCCATTCTTAGCTGGGGGAATAAGGTTTTGTTTCTCACTAAGCTTACATTACTACTTGTTATAGCTATTAAGTTTATAACTAATGACTGTTACTTACTCGTGCTTTGTAGTTGGGAATGAAGTTTGATGAGGCTAGGTCAGGATCACCAGTCCTTCATGTTATACCTTTCAATCCAAAAAAGAAATACGGAGGCGTGGCACTACAGGTTACATGACCTTTTCTTTGTTTTTTTTCTGAACATGAGATATCTATATATCCCTGTGTTTCACTTGACATATGTATGTATTCCGGGCCAGCTTTGTTGAAAACCGTAACATTTCTGCAAGATTTGTGCGATGTTTGATTCTTATACAATTGTTTTCCTTCTTATTATTCATATGTAGGTTGGTACAGAATACCACGTTCATTGGAAAGGATCTGCAAAGGTTATTCTTGATTCATGCAAATGGTATATGGATGAGGCCAACAACCGCAAAGCTATTGATAAACAGGTAGCTTGTTTTTGTTTGACATCAACGGGTAGCTTAGCTTGTTTATGAGCGTAGATTACTAACTCACAAATATACTATTATTCTTGTTTGATTTTTTTTTTTATTTATAAGAATTAATTCTCTCTTTAGGAGATGGAAGGAATAATTGGATACATGTGTGAGAGAGGGATGCGTTGTGCCGCACTTGCTTATCAGTCCTATGAGCTGGGAGGTCTTCCAACAACTGAGGAAGAACTTTCTAGACTACCTCAAGACCTTGTTTTGTTAGCTATTATTGGTATAAAGGTAACATTTCCAGCAATGGCAATTTGTACCTTCTTCCAAATGATTAAAAAGCCTATCAATCAAGTCTTTTAATTATCATGACTTATCCAATGTCTTGAATAATGTGCAGGATCCTTGCTGGCCAGACACAAAGGATGCGGTCGAGTTGTGCAATTCTGGAGGTGTTAAGGTGCATGTTTTACCATCCTCAATTTTTGTTATCTCTAATATATATTTTGAGTTGCTATAAACGGTATAACACCACCAACCTACCACTAAGTACTTTATAATATGCGGTGACATGATTGGCGTAATGGACTTTCAGGTTCGCATGGTAACAGAGGATGACGCTTTGACTGCACAAGCAATAGCAAAGGATTGTGGGATACTGGAGAATTCAGATGGCCATGATGTTATAATGACAGGAGCTCAATTTCGTAATCTTTCCGAACCAGTGAGAGACGAGAACGCTCCAAAGATATTAGTATGAATCCACTATTCAATATTTATGCTTTATCATATAAAATCGACAAGTAAAAACATGGGATTGGTTTCATTATGGTTCAGTTAAAGAAATTTGACTGAGACAAAAAAAAAAACTAACACACTACTGCTCTATGCGAAGGTTTTGGCTCAAGCCTCTCCCGAGGACAGTCTTCTGTTTGTCGAAACGCTGAAGAGAAGTGGGGATGTAGTTGCAGCCATTGGGATGGGAATACATGATACAAAGACACTAGTCGCGGTCTGTCATTATATAATCAATATTAATACTCAAAAAAAAAGTCAAACTATTCCAAAGAGAATATGAACCCTTCTAAAAACTGAAAAGATTATTGTTTTACCTTGCGCAGGCGGATGTTAGCATTGCAGCGGGAATCGGAGGGACCCGAGAAGCAAGAGAGAATTCCGATATTATTATAATGAATAACCGTTTTGCTCCGATTGTTGAGGTTAGTCATATAGAATGAATGCAACAAAGAGAGCAATACTTTGAATTTTTTTTGGCCATTTGAGATTTCATTAAAACAATCTTCGTCACAATTCTCAATGTATTTTTTGGACAATCTGCAGTTCATCCAATTTTCTCGATCTCTTTACATTAATATTCAGAGATATGTCCGGTTCCGGCTCACTGTCAGTCTAACAGCCCTGGCTATATGTGTGGTCGTGGTTGTATTGTATGATACGTTTCCACTTAATCCCGTGCAGGTTAGGAAATATCATCCCTTTGTTACATCATTTTATTGTAATCCTGTATTTCTCCACGACTGAAATCTTTGTCCTTTTCACTTTTCCCTGACGCAGCTTTTGTTGCTTAATTTTGTTCTCGACATCTTTGGAGCACTAGCGTTGGCTTACAGACCATCAGCTCGCAACGTAATGCGACAGCCACCAGTTGGTATGAGGTACACAAAATCTGAAAAGTATCAAAGGATATATGAGAATTGGTTAATAAGTAATTGTCTTAGAAATACACGCCAAACTGACTATTTATGTGTATACCTTTCTTCATTTGTGTTTTTGAAGAGACCCTCTTATAACCATGCCGATGTGGTTAAAGATGCTGATACAGGTATGCCCCCCCCCCCCCCCCCCCCCCCCCC